GGGAAGCCGGCTGCAGAGACGAAGCTGAGGAGCCGTCTCTCAGCTCGGGGTTGCCATAAACCGTGATCCGCGGCACAGTCGGGCCACTGCTCCTCCAGCAGGGACCCAACAAGCGGCAGATCCGGGGAGACTCCCCTTCCTCCCCTGGGAGGAGCAGTGCGGGAGCGCACTGCAGGGATCTGCTGGGTTTGGAGACTCCACACTGAGTCAGGTGCCAGAGATAGAAATGCTCGGTCACAGGCCGGGTGAGCACAGAGTGTGGCCAGAGACTGGGGAGACGGAAGTGACTGATTGCTTTTCTCTGGGGGCTCATGGAAGAGCCAGGCCCCAAGTTCTCGGCTCCTCCAGGGCAGAGATTGGGAGGCCGCCATTTTCACTCTAGGCCTCCAAGGCTGTACGGAAAGCTTGCAGGGAACAAAAGCTCCAGAGAGCAAAGCCCAGCAGATTACTTAGCCCGGACTGGCGAGGGCGGGGCAATTCCACCTCCGGCAAAAACATTTGGGAACCACGGCAACAGGCCCCTCCCCCAGAAGATCAGCGAGAACAGCCAGCCAAGACCAAGTTTACCAATCAATGAGAACGGCAGAACTCCAGCGCTAGGGGATTAATGCACATAGAATTCATGGCTTTTTTACCATGATTCTTTAGTCTTTCAAAGTTCATTTTATTTGTCTTTTTTTTTATTTTTCTTTTTCCCTTTTTCAACCAACATCTTATCAATCCCTTTTTTAAAAAACACTTATTTTTCAGTTTTAGAGTCATATTCTATCCCTTCATAGTAGTTACCCATAGTTTTGGCATATATATATATAAGTTGTTCTCTCTTTAAAATTTTGAGATAGTTTTTTCTAACAGATCAAAATATACCCTAAAACTCTAGCGTATGGTTTTCTTCTACTCTCCTGCCTGATCACATTCTCTCCCTTTTTTCTTTTTTTTTTTTAATCCTCTTCTTTCTTTTTTCAAACAACTTCTTATCAATTCCTTTTATAAAATTTTTTATAATTTTCATCTTTACAGTCATATTCCATCCCTTCATCATATCAACCCTTATTTTTGTACAT